TCATCGTCTTTCCCCTCCATCAACTCCACTAAGTGCATACTTAATGAAAATTAACATCAGCAAGGAAAGATAAAGAAGACGTCAGTGCCTATCTAAAAATCTAAGAACGCGTAGCCAAATTTATTCGCAAGGTGTATCCAAGTCTCCCAGTTAAAAGAAGGGATTGATGTCTGTCTGTAAGGCAAGGGTAAACTGGCACTTCGTTTACGCTTGTCTTGTTTAGTAATGCCTATTGAACGTTCTTTAGCGATTAATAAGTTGCAATGGTATTTTCAGACGTCATCGTATAGCTTTTGATAAAAGAGGAGTAGTGAGCGTAAAATTATGAAGAGGCATCGCCCTTTATTGCCAGCTATTTTGTGAACAATATCTATCAGGGAGTACAGAATTCTGGATTGAATGATGTTTATGTAGCCATTAGAAGCATTTGAAGGTGATGCAAATGTGTTGTTGAGTATATCCTCTAGTGCAGTTTGGTGCGCTGTGTATCTGGCTCTGTATGAAGAGCTTAGTTGGTCAATAAGATCATTTTTAGTAGCTGTGATCGTGTCCATAATTAATGAGGAATACAATGGATATGTCTAAATATAGAAGGTGGTTTCAGTAGCAACGTTACAACCCACACAAAACTAGTGTTCATATAAATCAGGTCATAATAATGTGAGGCGTGACAGTAAAGGAAGTTCATCGATGAAGTTTTAATTATGAATGATTTGAGCTTACATAAAGCAAAGGATGTGAAGAGAGAAGAGGTGTTCATCGAAAAAAGGTTCCAGATAGCGAACTAATTGATAGATTTGTTGACCGTGAGTACTCTGAGTTTATCATTTCTGTTCAAATCCAGAAAGTTGCTAAAGGCTTGTGCTGTGAAGAGTTGCTTGAGAAAACCTCTAATAGAGACCTCAATAGGAATATTATTAAAGCAAAATGAGAGATCTGATGAAGGGACGTTACCATCTTTAGCTAATCTATCTACTATTTCATTGTAATAATTTCCAGTGTATGCTTTGATTTTGTGGAGTAATACTTGAAGGTTGAGGTGATCAGTGATGTATCGGATAATACTCCAGATCATATGATTGGAAACTTTTTCAAGCTTTCTTAGAGAAAGATGGTTGGAAAGCACATATTTGTTAAAACTATGAATTGTTGCCTGGTTATCTAGATAGACGTCTACCACTGCGTTGTTTGGAGATATTATAAAGGCAGTGAGGAGAGCATACATTTCAGCTCGCATGGAAGAGAGCCAATTTGTGAGTGAAGCTTTAAAGGTAAACAGACCGTTGTCAGGGTGTAAGCAAATCCAACCAAATCCCATTTTACAGTTGTCCGTCTGGGATCCTATTAAGGAGCTATCTGTGTAAAATGTTAAGGCTGTTGTATCAGTAAAGGTTGATTGCAATTGTTTAAGCCTAGGTGAGTGCATCAATGGTTGAATAAGGAGTTTAATGATATTATTAGTGAGCGGAATTATTGGAGAAGGGTCATTGTATGATTTGTGAAAGATTATATTAGTGATACGAGAGATTTCCCTAAATGATTGTTTAGGTTGATTCTTGACTGTATTTCCTTATATATAAATTTAATAAAGTTACTGGCAGTGCCACATCGTTAAAAAAAAAAAATAAAATAAAAATTTTTTTTATTTAGATAATTTAAATATAATAATTATACTTCAATTTGAATTGACAAATTACTAATAATTACTAATTAAATTGTATTTTGACAGATGTAACTATTTTATTAATAATTTATAATAAATGTTGAATTGATGTAATTAATTTAATATCATCAAATTTAATTAGCACCAAAGTATAATAATAATAATAATAAATAAAATAAGTATAGTAATTAATAATTAAATCATATGAAAATTTCAATGTAGTAAAGAAAGATATTATTTTATCAGAATTATTAAGCCAACAAATTTGTTTATAAATAATTTAAAAAATATTAAATATTTGAAAAAAGCAGCTAAAGCAAATTATTTGAGAAAAATTAGATATAACATATATAGTATAATCTAATAAATTATGAAATAATTCAGTAAAATAATTTTTCAAATCTTAAAAAATTCTTAAATTATTTCTTTAATTCTTTATTAAAAAAATATTTTTTATAATCACAATAGATAATAATTTAATTATAACCAAATAAATAAAAATAAAAATTATTACTGTGTTCAACGTGAATTATCATACAGTATTTAGCATTTAAACTGAAAAACAAAGTATAACTTCTACTTGCAAAATCATCTTAAGTTACTAATTTATGCCAAATTAGATCAAAGGTTGGATTGAAGCTTTGTTATAGCTTACACACTATATGAGTGAAGCAAGACGTCTAAAATATTTCACTATGGATTCTATATGCATTGTTATGCAGGAATATTATTCTTTTTTATTTTTATAATGAAATTTCATTTTGATATACAGTATTTAACTACAGTATATCACGTTACACATTATTTAAAATCATATATATATATTTTCTTTTTTTAAAGCGGAACAAGTGAAGTTTGAATGAATTTTAATGATATTTTTGATAATCAAGAGCAGTCTACAATAGATAGTGTTTTAGTTTTACAGTGCACTTCAATATTTTTTTTGTAATAAAAAAACGTAAATAAAAAATATATATATGATTGAATTATTAAATTTGTCCGTCATATTATTAAGTCCAGACCACAAAATTTGGACTTCTATCCTGCAGCAATCCAACTCGCTTAAAAAAATTAATTTAATGAAAAATCCATGTTCAAAGTTTACTTGTTTCGATAATATATTATTATTCTATTTAATTAAAAATATGAAAGGTAAATAGTTTAGAGGGAAATGCATATCAGAACTAAGAAAATAAAGCATAAATAATATAAAAAAAAAACATGTTAAGTAAAAAATTAAAATGAAACGGGTCGGTTCGGTCAAGAGCCGACCATTTTTATAACCAATTCAATTTCAATCTATTTTTTTACTTTTATAATTATCGTTATATAATAAAAAAAAATAAATAACCACGGTTATATGACAAAATTCATCCCGTGATCATTAAATTTTTTGAATAATTAACGTTAACGTTAATTATTTTAACAAAAAAATTTCGTAAATTTACCACATTGCGTTAACCGTCTCATATGCTTTTTGTTTAACGCCATATTAACTCGGGATTAGAAACAAGAATTTTTTGTTACGAAATGTTATTAGTAGCAAAAAAAAAAAAAAAATTAAGGTTCGTCATCATAAGATTTCACACAATAATCAATGTAAAAAAAAAAAGTAGAGTATTATGAATTTGCGCCTTATTTCATTTAATGAATCTTTCCATAAAAATATAATTTTCGAAATTTTTTATTTTTTTCACGTGTGAAAGAAAGGAAAAGAGCATCATCGGAGGTTGTCCGACGGCCTTCTTTAAATGTTGTGAAATCAAGTTTGGGTTAAAAAATCTCATAAACTCGGACTGATTTTGAATTGACCACGAGTCAATAGCGTTTCAATGATTTATTTTTGGCATACAATAACACCAAAACTTATTATTTCATATCAAAAACAAATTATCATTTCACAATCTTGTCGATTAAAGATTTACAAGTAACAGAGTGGTTCGGGTCGGCCGAGGCGCTCCTCTAAAAATTGAGGAGGCACAAAAAAAAAAAAAAAAAAAAAAATGACTTGAATAAATTTCATAAAAAAATATATGATCCTCGGATTGAACATAGTCACCTCGTTGACGATCAAGCTTATCATTGAATGAATTCTTTATTATTTGTTTGTAAATAAAAGAGAAGGCGGTTGGTTGTATTAATTACTAAATATAGTTTTGATCTCTTGGTTTGTTTGTAAAACAGGAAAAAAAAAAAAATTTATAAATACAAGATAGCAAAAACAAAATCTCTTTTTTTTTTTTCATTATTTATTTAATAAAACCGTCGTATCAAAAATAAAAAAAATAAGAATAAAAAAATGAGCACGATAAATAAACTTCATGTTCCCAATGATATCGTACGAGAAATCATTTCACACATTGATCCGTATGACAACAATACATTATGTTCATGTCTGCTAGTTAATCATGTGTGGTGTGAATTCACCATCCCATTATTATGGAGTAATCCATTTAATCTGATAAAAAAAAAGGATCCAAGAATGCTTGTGACAACTTATTTTGATTTCTTGGATGAGAAAACGAAATCGATTACGGGCGGTCAAAATCACAAGAAAATCCTCATCAAGTACCCAACATATCTTCGAAAAGTTTCATTCATGGACATTTATGATGGCGTATTAGATTGGGTGATATTTAATAATAAAATGCGACAAGAATCTGAAGAGATCCCAACAAAAGAGGATCAAGTTTTCTCAATCATGCTGTCGAAAGAAATCTTAAAAATGATCTTGAACAATTCAATCGGTTTAGAATACTTGAAAATTGACGTCTCGAGAGAATTAAAGAGAAGAACTCGTTGCGAATCTATTTCCTTCCCTCCTTTAAATAATAATCATAACGTGGGGTTATCAAAATTGAACACTTTACATTGCTCAAATGATAATGCGAATAGTGAAATCCTTTTATCACTCGCACAATCGTCGACATCGATCAAAAATCTCATCATTACCGAAAATGATTGGGATAATGATGTTGGAACCGTAAACTCAGCCATTACCAAATTAGTCAAAGCTCAGCAAGGAATTGAAAAGGTGATTATTAAAAGGGTCAGCAGAGGTATCACCGACATACTTAAGTCCTTGTGCTCCCAAAAGAATACCATAAAAGGAATTCAACTTGATCACGTACCATTTGGTACTGATGAACATGGCTTGAAATGTATATCGGAATTTAGCGAGAATCTTGAAGAAATTAGATTCATAAATTGTTACAACTTGACCGATAATGTCGTGAAACCATTGTTAAATATGGAATTTCCAAGGTTAACAACGTTAGAAATCAATAACCGGCATTTTTATCTTTTACCCGAAATAAGTCCTACCAAAGAAATTCTTGAACTAATCAAAAATCTAGGTAATAATTTGACGGAATTAATAGTAAACGAGTCATATCAACCAACATTATTCGACTCATTATTTCATCACGTTCAAAAATATTGCACCAACTTAACCACCCTTGGACTAAATATTGGATATAAACAATTACCACCTTTATTAGAATTAATTAGGTCACTCAAAAAACTACAAAGATTTATTATACAAAGTGACGGAGGGTTATGTTACATCGATAATTGGTTGAAGGCGATAGCCGAAGGAATTCCTCCGTCGCTCACCTCCCTCGAAGTAAACGGTTGGATTATGTCACCAGAAGGGCTAAAAGGATTTCTAAATTTCAGTAAGAATAGAATAAAAGTGCTCGCATGGAGGTTGCCGCTTGGGAAGAAAATTGAAGATTATTCTAGCATTCTTGAAAACTATAGTAGAAACATTTATTTTGTTCAAATATCACAACGTAAACTAAAAGAACAGGTTTGGGATGAAGCTCGAGTGGAATTTATATAATTATCAAAGTAACGGTTCTATAATTGAAGAAAAGTTATTATTTAATAAAAGTTTATGATTGTTGCATGTCAAGAAATTATTTTAAATAAACTTTTAGAATGCATTCATACATTTATATTATACGAACGCCTTTTATCTAAAGCTTTCCATATTGAAATTCTTTGGGACATGGTTCATAGTTAACTATTAAAGTATAATAGAATATAAATTATCAAATTTTTCGATGAAACGAGGATCATGATTGAAAATAACTTACTATAAAAGCCAAGGTTGCGTCCAAAGTTACGATGACATCTCAACGTATTCCAAGTTGATAGTATCAAGAAAATACCAGACATAATACCTAAGAAAAAAAAAGGAGTATCTACTGTCAATATTGTAAAATGATTGTGATAAAGATATAATCAAATAATGATCTACTGTACATGTGTAAATGAGCGTGTGAAAAAAGAAATCCTCCTTAATACAAGTTTTGGGGGGAGAATCTGTTTCTGCGTAACAATATTCTGTCGTAAAATAAACCAAGAATCCGGCCTGCAAAATATTTCCAAAATATGTAATACAAAGCAAACTCGTTGATTCCTTTTTTACCTTGTGATTAAAAATATATATATATATATTAGACGCACGTATATGATAACTACAAAATCCATTCATTCATTTACTCACCCCTCGAACCATGAATAAAGAGTATAAACAGAATAACGAATTTAAAGGGACCAAAAAATAATAAAAGGCCCTTGTGGTTACTTGACCTTCCCTTATGACTTTTAAATCATAAATCACGAATGTTAGGTAAATGCACAACCATTGTCCCATCATTGTAAATTTTCCGTGAAGTATCGGATATTGTAATTGATATATTGCATGCAATTGTTTTATTTCATTATCTTTGGAATATTCAAACTCATTGATCATCGGCCATATTTTCCATCTCCATAATAGATACATTGCAATGATATAAAATGTTTGTAATGATACTAAGAAACACATTAAAAATATCGCCATATAATATGAAGACAAATCTTGGCATTCCGGACACCAAATGTCGAATGTAATAAAATAAAAGGAAAACATTACAATTGGTAAATTATTTACAATAATAAAAACCACCCCATGGAGTATAGTTCGCTGATTAAACTAAAAATAAAAATTTTTAAAAAATTTTAAATATACGTATATATCGATATTTTATTCACTATTTTCAAATCTTATTTACTTACGGTAACGATTCCGGATGCAATTGGAAACAGTAATAAAAGCAAATTTTGAAAATTATTTGAAAATTTTTTTGTCAATAACAGAAAAATTAACGATATAAAAAATGATCCAATCGAATTTGTCAAGAATGTTATTATAAAAATTTTTTCGATACGTAAAAGTTTGGAATAATACGTTTTCCACAATATATAAGCTTCATCCATTTTCAAAATGATATAATTTTTTTTTTGTTTAATTAATTTCAATTATTTATAGTTGGTAAGTCTTTAAACTGTGATATATATATGTCAAACAGGGATCTGTCATAACCAATCAGCTCAAAGATTAAATTTTTGTTATGAAACGATTTACCTAATACTTCTGCAAAAGGAAATTCGAGAATTTTCCATTGCCTTGTCACTGAAAAAATCAGTGTAAATTGCGGACTTTGTCAAGAAAATTAATCTGAATTAACTTAAGTGGACACAGAATGTCAGTCAATATTAAAATAAAGACAAACAAACAACAAAATGATTAAATATAATTCTTAAAAATGATGAAGCAACTTTTTAATTCTTTTTTTGCATCAATCTAAGCAGTGTTACGACAGTTAATTTTTAATCATAAAAATGATAGAAAATATACAACGTTTTAAAACTTCAAATTTTACAACAAAGATTTCAACCCAAGAAGTGAAAGATTTAATTCTGGACGTATTTAAAATATGTCGTACCTTAAAAGCGAGAATGACTGAAACAAAATTCGTTGAAGGGACTATGCAGAATTATTAAATAAAATCATTTCTGTACCAGGTAATTAAGTTTATCAAACGAAGGATTATTTTACCGACATCCTCAAATTCATTTGAAAACTTGAATAATTAGTACAAATGAAGCGCAACATCGTAAATCATTTGTAAAGTGACCATTATAATGTTTTTATGATTGTAAATAGAAAGGAAATGATTATAAAATTCTTGGTGTAAATCATTGATTAGGCTATTGCGTCTGCCGAAAAATCTATTGACCTATTAGAGAATAGATGTCAGAATCTGGAGGATATTATTTCTGCTAAGGACAGGTTTTTTAATATACGGAATCTTTGTTATTAATAGTGTTCTTGATTCATAAAATGAATTTTTTCGGATATTAATCCGATCTAATCTATATACCGATACTAACTAACATCAAATAATACTAAAAATAAATGAAAATAAAAGAAACCTAATCGTGAACACAATGAATTAGTTTTAAGATCTATGCAATTCAAAAGTATTAAAAAAAAAAAAAAAAATTATTTTCGTGAAATTTTTCTGAATGGATCTTTTTTTTTTAAAAAAAAAAAAAATGCAAGCCATTACTTAAGATATGAAATATTCTTACCGGAAGTTAGTCCAAAGACCGGCAGGACCCAAATAAATCAGTTCGGTCTGGGTATTTGTGGAATCGATTCAATCTTAACTCTAAAGCTAGCAAGCCAATTAAATATATTTCTATGTACAAAGGTGCGTCTCAATTGACACGCAAAATATCTCAAATAGACAAGCTCTTCATTCTTTACAGTATTTATATAAAACTTGCCTAAATGCTAATAATAGCAGCTTTCATATGACGAACAATAGGTCATGTTTCTTCATATTATTTTGTTGATCAAAAATTTGAAGATTTGCGTCACGCATTACTCGTCTATTCCAAAATAGTTTAAAATGTCGGAATTTACGGACTTACTCGGAGTTACAGTATTGGTTACAGACTTTGATGTTTGGTTCGGCGCAATGTAATTGCAGAATACTGTTTCAGATCTAATAAACACTTTACTTTACTGTTATATATCTTTCGTGAAGACAATGATTATTCAACACCAAATGTAGCGCAGTGCATATTTTTTTTTTAACAAAAAATAAATATATGTATATTTAAATACAACGTCGCGAATTATAAATCACACTTTTTTTTTTAAAAAAAAAAAAAAAAAAAAAAAAAAAATTAATTTCTTATTTTACTAAATTTAATAATAATCATGTCAAAAAACTTTTCATTGTATATTGTATCATGGGTTTTAATAATTCAATTATCAGTTGGGGTTAACTGTCAAATGCTTCAACGATCACTTCATACCACAACACTTGTTGATAATAAATTATATATTATAGGCGGAGTACATGATTTAAATGGAGGAGTTATTGGAAACCAATTTCTTTACCTTGATGTGTCCGTTCCGTTTAATACTGATAAATTGTCTTGGAATGACATAACAAGCACCAATATTGTCCCGGCACATTCTGCTGCAGCATCTGGCACAAGTAATGGTGCATTAATTTTATATGGAGGAAACGTATTTGCTGAAAAAACTAAGATGGATTTGATATATATGTTTAATGCGTTAAATAATACATGGATGAATGTTCCAAAATTAAACGATGAAAAACTTAGAAAGAGTGATCTTAAAGGCATCAGTGTAAATGATAGAATTTACTTATTTGGAGGAATGTATAATAAAACTCTGACCAACAGTATGGTCATTTTTGATCCGGTCAACCTTGGTTTCACAACAGGAATTTTGATCAATGCGCCAGCTCCAAGAATGCGTCATGGAGCAACCTTGTTACCAAATCGTCAAATTGCTTATTTTGGTAAGAGGTCATTTCAATATGATGTATCAATCATTACCTTTATCTCATCCAATTTATTTATCATTTAAAGGTGGCATGGATGATTTTGGAGTGAAATTCCCACTAAATGAGGTGAATTATCGTTAATTTTATCAAACTTTTCTTGAACTTTATTAAATAATGTACAATTAATAATTTAATCAATCTTAGATCCACTTTTATGATACAATGAGTGACTCTTGGTCTAAAAAGGTATACTTTATTTGAGTGTATTTATAAAGATATAATTATCTGAATATTTCAATCATTAAAAAAAGATTTTTATGACCGATACATCAGGATGCTACGGGTAGAGTCCCTTCTGGAAGAGACGCCTTTTCATCCGTACTTGGTAAATATTTTGTTTGCATAATCATTAAAAAATTTTTTAATCTTAATTAATTATGATTTCATTATTATCAATAGGGTTGGATGGAAAACGATTAATAATTTTTGGAGGATTTCAAATGGCCCCCGCAGATGCGCTTCACGTGTTAGATTTAACGAACATGCTATGGACGGTTCCAAACATTACTGGAAAACTTCCAATGTCTCGATACCATCATCAAGCAAATGTGGTTGGAAGATTCATGGTTATATCATTTGGTAAATATATCTTTTCATACATGAATTCATCTTGATTAAATGTATTAATAATGATCGGTCTTAATATAGGAAAAGATTATGATCAAACGATTGATAATGATGTGTTATTACTTGATATTAGTAACAATGATAATTATGTGTGGACAAACTCTTTTGATACGCAATTACCCAATCCATTATCACTTAAGGGCAAACCATCATCCACGACTAACAAATCAATTCTAATTAGTGCATCTGTTGTATCTATTATAATATTTGGATTTTTAGTATTAACTGGAGTATTTTTATATAAATCGCATAAAAAGAAACAGAATCGCGCGAAAATATTACGAGTTCCTGGTTTAGATACAAGCAATAAAAAAGAAGAAATATTAGAAATACCTGGAAATGTATTAAATAATAGAGATTTCATGTTTCATGTCATGTAATATAGAATAGATTATTAGCATTCATATCACTTTTAATAAACCATTGTTCTTGATCCGGGATTCGGAACAAAATCTTTTGTACAATAATAATTAAACTTTGGATAATGTGATTATTATAGTGGGGTTTGGATCGGTCCTGATATAAAAAATGAATTTGATTTTTTTTTAGCAGTTTGATAAGCGATTAATATTATTTGTGATACTTCAAATTTATTTGCGAAGGCGCAGAAAATTCTCTAGAATTTCATGCCTTACTTAAAAATTATGTTATTATATCTTTATTTTTTTCCCCCTTAATATCATGTAGACTAAATGTTAAAAGTTTGATTCATAAAATACGTTTGGAAAATATTTGGTTTTGTACTTACATTCAAATATTAATTATTTTTTTTTTTTTTTTTTTTGTTCCTCACTTTATTATCTTTTTTTGTGATTTTTTTTTTCTTTGTATTTTCAATCTTTAGGAGTTAGAAGACCAACTGGTGACTGCACAACAACTAATCAAGTTGAAATATTTTTTATTTCTTAGTACACTTGGCTATTTATACGTTGTGTCGAGCGCAAATTCCTTATAAACTCTAATTTCTATCGAAAGGCCATGTATATAAACGATGTTCGATTTGACCAGATCATTTAATCGGATAAACCGTTGAGATAATTGAGAACTTTACGAGAAAAATTTATATGTATTGGAAAGCCATCCACACGTTTACTGGTAAAGAAAGATTTTGTGCCTTTATATTAGCTTTAATAAATCACGTGACTATTTTAAGTTGCAAATAATCGGTAAAAAAAAAAATATCCACAAATCGGCTAATATGAATAGCTATAAGTCGGATCGATAGAAGAAAATCATTTTTTTATTTAAATGAAAAATGTATTGTAATTATTGAATATGAAACTAAATACATACAGTATATAAATTTTGAGTTATTTTTCGATTTTATTGAAATTTAAATTTTGACCAACCAAACACTTGATAAATTTTATAAGGGACGTAACGAGACTGAAGCGAATCAAGACAACGGTATTCAATTGAACAATTTGCGTTACTCATTGTTACCCACCACAAAAAATGTATGCGCTTAGCGGTGTTATACATTTCTACAAATATAATTGCAAGTCTGTCGTACTTTACATTATTGCAATTCGGAATAAGTTTTTTTTTTTTTACTTCCTTGTACAAAAGAAAGGCTTCCTTTTATTGTGCATCACATATATTTCACGAAATTTAATTCGAATTTTCTAATTAAATTTCAGAGTTCGATTTAAATCACGATAAACATTTTTTTATTATTATTATTTTTAATCATGACAAAAACAGAAAAAAAAATCGCAATGACCATTTCAACAAATAATATTAAAATACAAATAAATAAATTATTCATACTTTTGATGATGATGAAGGTATTGCCAAAATTTGCTTTTTTCATTAGAATTTAGTATCCTATTGCACAAGTATATTTGTAGATGCTATATAAAAGGGTTGATTTGGATGCAAAAAGCAATAAAAAATGAAAAGATTTTTGCGCAATATAAACTTGGTAATTCATATTATCAGAATGAAGGAACAGAAAAAATTTAGAATATGCCTTTTATTGGTATCAAAAAGCTGCTAAAATGGAATATTAAATGACAATTTAATCTTGCAATGTGATGAAAAGGATGATTTTATGAAATCTCGATTACGAAATAATTACAAAAAGTCATAATTTTTCAGTGAATATAAGTTCTTTCAGTTCAGTTCTATATGCAACTTGCCATGCCACTCCAAATATTTAATATTTAAAGAAGCTTTATAATAATAAAAATTCAAAAATCGAAAACGCTTTCAAGTCATAGTTCATTCATATATTAAATACTTAATTGAAACATTTTGTCGTAAAAAAAAAGAAAAAAAATTTAATTTATCCAAAATACAAAATTGAAACTTTAAAAACTAAAAAAAAAAATACAATAAATATTTAAAAAAGTAATTCAAGAATTTTTTTTTTACATAACATCACCTAATGACTGATATTTCTTAACATAATACCATGTTGCTATATCAAACTTGGCTGTAGCATTACCATACATTATTTGCGGCTTTAAGTAAATAATGAGCTCCTTATTGCATATCTTGCTTACATCCTAATCCTTGCGTTAACATTGTGCCATATCTAAGCTGAGCCTCGGGAAATTCATCGCCATAGTCGGCAAGCTTCTTTGAAAAGTTCTAAAGCTATTTAATTGTTAAGATTTTTCATAATTAAGATCAGACCAACCTTTGGTAATATAAAATGCCTTATAATATTATGTTTGATAGTCATCATGCACGCATAAGTTTCAAAACATTTGTATAATTTAAATAATGACCAATCAAATACTGTACTTGGAATAATTTGAGGTTTATCTTCATCTGCATTTGATGTTTGATTCTCAAAATTCATTAAAGATATCATTTAATTTGATTAAAATTTCTGCAAAATCGTGTCTTCTTACTGGATTTTGGTCAACTACCATTTCGATAAGTTTCGATGTTCTTCTGAGTACTTAAACTTTTCAAAAAAATGTTACTTCCTTACCTTGATGAGCAAATGAAATTTTCAGCCACCATTCTCTTAATTGTTGCCCTTTTGGTTTAATTGCTTTCTCCACCCTATCTGAATACAAAGAAGATAAATTTTACAAGTATTGTCAAAATGATGGTATAATTTATATGATAAATAACACACAAGTTGTAGATTTTTGTCATTCCCAAGATTATATGCAAAAATATGGTAATGTTATAAATCTAAGTCTCTTTTTTTGTTTTTAATAAAAAAGTTTAAAATAAAATAAAATGTTCATTTGTTTATTATGTTTCTTTTTATCAAAATCAATTTTTAGATTATTATTTGATGATCACTATCAAAATTTTCAGTATCAGCAACAAAATCATTGATATTACTAGGAAATGGAAACCATTATAAGTCTGGAGCTCAATAACAATTATATTTAATTTTAAGCTTAATAGTCATTTATTTTTTTTTAATTGTATAAAATTGTAAGATAATAATTGTATTATATTAATTGTAAAATAATAAATAAATAAATATTATTAATACGAAAAATCACATAAATTATATTATGTATAATCGGCATGATGCATATCACAAGATCAAAGAAATATATGCGTTATACGCGCCATATAATTTCTATTTTAGGAATCACGTCACATTTATTGTAGATAAGTCATGTGAGAGCACAATATCTTTCATTGCAAATAAGTCACGTGAGCACAATATCTTTTCATTAAGATGAGTCTATTAAATTGATAATAAAAATTAATATAATGAAGGATAAAATCATTTATCGTGATACTCTTAGAAAGCGAAAAGTGAGAGAGAATGAGAATTCTAGTCAATATGAAAGATGTCTTGCCTAGGAACGAGAGAGAAAACATCAGAAAAAAACTGCAGAAACTTCTGAAGAAAAAGTGGCGCACCTCACATGTGATTGTGAAAGAAAACGTTTAAAATTAGCTGCAGAAACTGAGAAATAGCGTGAAAAATGCCTAAAATATTACTGTAAACGAAGTGTACTGAATGTACAAAAGAATCAAAATGTTAATATACAACAGAATCAAAAGATTCATTTACAGCCGCAGTAAAAGACTAATTCACAACTACAGCAGAAACATAATCGAAATCAAAACGAAAATGAAAATGCTGCTGCTATTCTTAGTGAATCTGAACGAGATCTTTTGCAAAAATTTCGCGCTAAAATAGATAAATTCAAACATACCCTTTGCTCAGTATGTAATGAAAACTTTCCATCTATAGTGCTTGTAAAGGGAGAATGCCGTTGTTATTATACCGAAAAGACCTTACCAAAAAAGTTCTTCGCAGAAAATAACATAGATCCAGGAGAAGTACCTAAAGAGCTACAAAATCTTACAGAAATTGAGGAGATGTTAATAGCACGAATCTTTTCCATAATTTTAGTCTACAGACTTCGTGAAGGACAATACAGATATCATAGAAACGTAATCAACTTCCCTCAAAATGTACAAGGATTTACCATTCAACTTTCTCATCATCCTTCATTATTAGATGTGCTTGTTATACGTCGTGAATCCGCAAATTCAGCAGCATTCAGAGATTTAGAGTCTGTCATATTAAAATTACTTGCACCTTATGGTGGTTGAAGGAAATAATCATTACTATACTGATATCATTATCGATAATAAAGTTCTTGAATCCTTACCAATTAATAGTTCAATTGATGATTAACTTCGGTATACCATTGTTGAAGATTTTGATTATGAAAATGAGGATGATGTAGTAACAAGTACATTTGTTCCACTTCCTCCTTCAGTTCATCGTGAAGATATAGCTATCAAAAATGCCTTCAATCGTATGCAAGAGAACCATCCTATAGCATAGCCACATATTGACAATCATCCTATAAATGAATTCCAAATGGCAGGGTATATTGCATGCGCATACCCAACTCTTTACCCAACTGGACATGGAGATCTTCGCGGAAAATGTATTCGAGACATCAAACCAGCTGAATACTTCAAACATTTGCTTTAATACAAAGACGGAAGATTTGCTCATCATTTTCGTTGGCGGTATTTTGCATTAAATTCTCAGATGCAATGATGAGCACTACAAGAAGGAAAGGTGTATATTAAACAGAAGTTAACAGATGGTCATATTACAGTTAGTAATATTCAGGAGAAAATCCGTTAAGGCGATAGTCATATTGCAGATAACATTATGCGATTTGGTCAGAGTTTACGTGGATCTTGGCAGTTTTGAAATGCACAATGTTATGAACTGTCGGATATGATCAAACAAATTGGATCACAAGAATTGGTATTTTTTACATTCAGTGCTACCAATTTGCACTGGCCTGAACTTCATAAACTTATGATATCAAATGGAGGAGAGACTTCCAATCACTAAAACATTGTTAATAATCCTCATATCGCTGTCTGGTTTTTCAACAAGCGTTTTGAGATTTTTTTTAATGATGTTCTAAAATAAGAATGGAATTTGGAAGATTAGTGGTATAGATTTGAATGGCAGCACCATGGTAGCGTCTATGTACATGGAATAGGAAAAAGAAGAAATGCATCTGTGATAGAATGGGAGAAAATGAAAGAAGATGTAAATGTTATGAACGAAGTAGTGCAATATCTTAATACTATAGTCACTACGGTAAATCCAGGGCTTAACATTCCTATTCCTAATCGGCATCCATGTCAAAAGGGTAGTAATGAATTATGTGACGATCAGTAGGATTATATTGATTTAATTAATAAATTGCAACGACATATACGATGCTATCCTGCATACTGTCTTCATGTTAAAGACAGACAATAATACTGCAGGTTTGGCTATTCTAAGGAAAATGTTGAAAATACCTTTGTGCAAGATGATGGATATGGTTAGCCTAAACTCGTAACAAAAAGAAATAATCCGTTTATTAATCCATATAGCAGGCTTTAACTACAGGGTTGAAGAGCAAATGTTGATTTAAAGCCAATTCTTAATATTCACGTGGCCCTATAATATATTTCAAAATATGCAACCAAAGCAGAATCACGATCAGCTGCCTTTTCAGAAATACTAAATCAAATCCTTAGTGATAGTAATCCAGATGATCTATTACTTACCCCAGTTCAGAAGTTACTAATACACAGTGTTGGAGAACGTGATATCTCTGCTCAAGAGACTTGTTATATTCTCCTCGGTATTCTACTTTATCACTTAAATCGACCATTTGTTTCCTTGAATCTTAATAAGAAAGCACTGAAATGGATCTGTGATACCGGAGAAAATAGAGAGTTTTTTTCAAGTGATGAATCCGGACGGACAGAAGAATTACCTTTGAATAGATATTGGGATCGGTCTGATGAATTTGAGAATTTGACATTATATCAGCTCTATTTAACATGTAAATTTATCAAAAATCATTAGAATAAATGCAAATAAGAAAACATTGTACATATCTTTCCATGCCTATCACCACTACGTAATGGTCCTCAATGGAAAGAATTTTGTCGTGTAAAGGTTCTTCTTCACGTTCATCACCGAAGTATTCAGTAATTAATCAAGAATGACAATATTGAATGGTCAACTTTGTATAGTCGTCATCTTGAAGAGATCAATGCTGATCTAATTGATCTACTTGGGAATCCTATAGATAATGAGAAAATGAAATCGATGATGAGGACGAAGAATTATTTAAAGATGATGAGCAAGAAGAACTCCGACTGATTGGATGCATTTGGCAGAAATGGGTCTAAATGCAATTATCGATCATTCCTTCGACCTAGGATCTTGGGACATGGATCAGAATCATGACTGGATTAATGATGCCAGACAACGATATTCTGATAGAGATCTCACAGACGTTGATACTTTCGTGAATAGAGCTTCAGGAAGTGGGAAAAGGAATGCTGAAAATGAAGAAAATGAAGATTTAATTGTGGATTATGAGACGTTGAACGAAGAACAAAAGAAAGTCTTTAAACAAATGGAATCTTATTATCACGATATTCTTACAGGTCATGAAGTTGACCCATTAAGAATCATCATAATGGGAACCGCAGGAACTGGAAAGACTTATCTAATTAAAGCAATCTAAAATCAACTTCAAGAAATAGTAGGAGTTGGATCTAAGTCACCTGTTATTGTACTTGCGCCTACAGGAGTTGCAGCTTATAATATTAATAGGATAATAATACATTCAACACTTGGTATTCTGATAATTACCAAAAAGAACCTTAACATAAATGGCGAAAGATTGAATCAGCTACAAGATAAACTACAAAATGTAAGCTATATTATAATTGACGAGAAAAGTATGGTTGATCAGCGAACACTCGCTATAATTGATATGTGACTTCGCCAAGCTTTTTCCGAACATAACAATGAACCTTTTGGTGGCAGGTTGGTTATTATGTTTGGTGATTTTGGCCAGCTTCTACCTGTACTTGATCTTCCCGTGTATACCAACATTCTACGAGATCCATTGTCTAATGATGGTTTTGCAGCATACAAATTGTTTAGAGAGGTGTATAAACTTGATATTATTCAACGTCAATCTGGGAATTCTAAGGAACAACAGGACTTTAGAGATATTCTCTTATGGCTGCGTAATAGAAAATCTACTTTAAATGATTGGAAGGCTCTTACCACACGACTGAAAGAGAAACTAAGTAGAATAGAGCGTGACAGCTTCTCTAACACTATGTTCATCCTAATAAAGTGGTCTGATGTTAACATAATTAATATAAATTAACTTAGGTCTTTAAATTCACCTGTTGCTAAAATTTAAGAAACACATACAGGTGGGAATGAAGCCAAAAAAGCTGATGCTGATTTAACACATAGTCTTGAAGTACAGTTGTTACTGGCAAGAGATGCACGCGTCATGCTAACAGCAAACCTGTGGACAGAAGTTGGATTAGTAAATGGTTCAATGGGAACTGTTCAAGATATTTTATTCAAAGAAGACCAGGGACCGCCTTCTATTCCTATAGCAGTACTTATCTCTTTTGATAATTATAAAGGTCTTACCATTGCTTCTTCAGAGGGTGTAAGAGTAGTTCTAATTGCGTCTATTTGACATACTTGGGAGGGCAAATCTGGAGTAATATATTCTC